CCCTGAACGCTTCTCACCCTGAACGCTTCTCACCCTGAACACATCACGTTACCCACAGAGACTCTCGCCCTGAACGCATCCCGCCCTGAACGCATCTCACCCTGAACACATCACGTTACCCACAGAGACTCTCGCCCTCGCTGTGTCTGATGAATGTTTTGTACAAAGATATGAACAGGATGTATTTATGTCATGTAGCTGTTCCAGCTCAGCATCTCAAAACAAATGATGGGAACTGTTAATCAGCTCAGGCCACAATGTTTTGTTGAGTCACACAGCAGATAATTAGACCGGTTCAGTGACATGAAGAATAACAGGCGGAGCTGAATGCTGAGCGTCATTCGTTGTCCAACTTTAAATCTCTCTGAATGACTGTTTTATTCAGTTTGGAATAAAACGGTCCCCCTCATGACTTCTCTGTTCCGCGTCACGAGGTCGTTTTATATCACGTAACACTTTAAAGTCGGGTCGAAAAGAAAAGGTTTCTTGATTATTTGATTTTTTTCTCTGAATGTTCCGGTTGACAAATAAACTAATTGTTTCTGATGACAGGAAGTCGTTAAGGCTTTATTTGAAGCTGCACTGACGAACTTTAAACGCAACGGTGAAAAATAAGTATCTTTTTCGTACTGTTGTATGTTAAAAATCATAGTATAGCATGTTGAAAAAAAAGTCATAAAAATATTTAAGTATAGTGAGTTGAAAAAAGACATAAAAAAGTCATAGTATGTCGAAAAAAGACACAAAATCATAATATTGTATGTCAAAAAAATTAAAGTCTAGTATAGTATGTCGAAAAAAGTCAAAGTAGTTTTTTTTTTTTTTAAAGTCGTACTGTTGGATGTTGAATAGTTTGTCATAAAAGGTCAAAATAAGTCATAGTACATCATTCAGATTTTCATCTACAGAAATGTAACGGAAAGTCAGGAATCCTTGTACTTCATTGTACTCAACAGCAGTAATTATGTGATATTATGCAACAGGAAGCCTCTCAGCAGTTGATGTGTATGAAGCATCTCAAGATCAACTGTCGGGCTGCAAACACATCATGTTTGAAGTTAAATGAGTCACATGATGCTCATCAGACAGAGAGGAGATAAGCAACAACTTGATGGATTTATTATCTCAACAACACTGTTGGCAAACATGAAAACAAACCTGTAAACTGTCTCTCACATTACAGCAGCACATCAATCTAAATGTCCTGTGACATCATGATCATTTATAATCAACATCCAACACAGGTTTCCAATGACAATAAATAATCCTGCAGCATATTTTCATAAGTCAAAATCACAACACAACGTCGGGGCTTGATGGGGTTTCTGTACATTTGCTGAATTAGTAACACGACAGACAAAATATTCAGAAATGTGGTTGAAAATCTGTCTGACAACTGCTGGTTGAGTAACACAGCGAGTCAGATTCTGAGCCTCTCGTCTGAGACTCATCTGAGTTTTTTAATCCTAAACTGTTGTGAATCATTCCTTCTGCAAAGCACATCTCGTTAGACCTTTTGGTTTGCCACCGATGACTTGAATCTGGCAAGGTAGCACTTTCAAAAACATGTTCATTTAGATTTGATCTTTTCTTATTTGTAGCTTTTTATTTTATTGCATTTATTTTTTTACATTTTATTTATATTTTCTTAGCTTTATATCTTTGAATAAAGTACTTTGCAACATTTCTTTTTTAAGTGCTTAATTAATGAATCTGTAACATTGAACCTTAAATTGTCCCTGAATACGACAGTGGTGATATCCCTTTCCTTAGTGCCATAAAGGCTGACTATGCTCATTTCACTCAGCAGCAGGGCTCTGTCTATTGTGTGCTTTCCTGGAAAGGCACTTCAGAATGTATCCAACCAGAAGTCAGGTTCAGAGTATCAGTTGAATCATGCTCATCCTTCTACGTCAGGTTCAGAGCAGTGTCCACATGCTGACGACATGTTAGCTTCTGGCACAAGAAAAAGGATTAAACACAAATGAAGGATTCATTTATTGCCCCATTGGAGAATAAATCAAAAATCCAAATAAGTAATCACGTCTGGGTTTTTATTCCCCCCACTTTTACTTGATCTTAATACAACTCAAGTCCGTTTCACACATTTTATCTCCAGCCCTGAAATGTCCAGGGACATTTCCTCCATGGGCTCGTGTGTGAATGGGATCGATATTCAGGGAAATCTCTTCCACCAGTTTACATATCGTGACCTCATAAGGTTTCAGGGAAAATGTTGTGAATGAAAGCAGAAACATTGCAGGGACGAGCACTTAAAGGGTGAAGTAGTTTTGACGAAAGACGCTTTATGGTCTGTTTGACTCTAAATGGACCATAATGTACTAAATGAACATCATGCTGTATTGAAGAATACTTGAAACTAGAGATTGAGACCATAAACTCATGTTTACAATGTTTACTGAGGTAATAAATCAAGAGAGAAGTAGAGTCATTTTCTCATAGACTTCTATACAACCAGAGGAGTCGCCCCCTGGTGGACATTAGAGAGAATTCAGCTTTAAGACATGAAGCTTTGACTTCACTCGGAAGAACCGGAGGTTGCCGCCTGGTGCCAACATAGTGTACAGTATTTGCATACTGCTATATTTTACTGGAAACTGTGTGCAATTTATATACTATTGGGTTTTGCGTTACTACTAAAATACTGTGTTTTTTGGTACAGAATAGCATGTTAGCATGTTCACCATCTTAGTTTGGTGCGTTAATTTATTTAATTTAATTTAATTTAAACATTAAACGATCAAGGTAATTGTCGTTGGATGTCATTTGGGAATCAAGCAGATATTTGTACTAATTAATATTCTTAAAAGGTATTTGATATCTTTATCAAAGTATTTTTTTTCTGTTTTTACTCTTGTCTTACAACCAAACAATTGGAAAATATATTTTTTAGAAGTTTTGTCTCTGTATTTCTTTCATAATATAATTGTTATAATACCCTTGAATAGATAACAGTGCCCCTTTTCGTTTCCTATAAATTTACCTGTTTTTTATGTAGGAGACATTTTCTGTTTTAGTTATTGTATACTTCATTTTTATTAATTATTATTAACATGATAATTTCCGTTACTTTGGTCACTGTATTTT